CTACACCTGCCTGACAAGAAACCGAGAACTGAATTTCTGCAGCTCAGGGCGGGAAGAAAAGAAATCTAGCCTCGCAATTATATTGCTCAGAAGGGTGAATAAACCTGAGATAAGCAATTTCCAAAGTTCATTATCAACACATTCCAACAGGCTGAGAATCTGCTGATGGCTTCATGATTCACTCCAGCTCACCTCCACCTACCCTACCTGGAAGGGGCAAGAATTTATGGGCAGTACAAGCTCAGCTGTTGTCTGGGTGAGGGTTTATGATCACAACACAACTTCCTTTACTGTGATCATTAACTTAAGAATACTGATTTAAAATCACATTCGTGGCCAACAGGATCTTGTCCCCTAGTGACCTAATCTTGGGCTACTAGACTGTAGCCGGACTTGTCCATCTGGCACTTCCAAGCCTACAAAGGGCTGCTCCATCCCAATTCTGAAGCCAAACTGGAAGGGAACACATGGGGTGAGCATCGGTGAGACAATGCAACAGAACCCAGCAACCTTGTCCCATCAGATGCCTGGCTGCCCATCTTGCTCCCAGACAGCCCTGGTCTTTGCCGAGCTTACAGAACTGTGTGGGGCCAGACAAAAATCACAGTTGATGGCAAGACTGTGTCATGGTCTAGGCTGCCACGAAGACAAGGTGTGTCTTATTCCCAGCACTTTCTCTTGCTGACCAGGAAATGATGTCTGCAGCTCACCTCTCTCTCTCTCGAATGGGCAGGTCTGCACAGGAGCCTCCCTTACCTTTCCCTGCTCTACCCTTCTTAGAATTTCTCACCCATGCTTGACTGCAAGTATTAAAATACACCCTCCAGAGTTGGTGAATGAAACTCAAAACAGGAACACCATAAAGAAAATCAATGAAACAAAAAGTTGCTTCTTCAAAAACAGTCATTAAATTGATAAGCTCTAGCAAGACTGACAAGAATAAAAAGAGAGCAGACACAAATCCCCCACATCAGGAATGAAACCAGGGATATCACTACAGACCCTAAAGACACTAAGAGGATTTGAGAGTACCGCAAACAACTTTAAGCTCATGAATTCAACAACTCAGAAGAAATGGAACAATTTCTTAAAAACCACAAGCCACCAAAACTCAACCAAGATGAAAAAGACAACCTGAATGGTTCTTAATAACCACAAAAGAAGCTGAACCTGTCATTAAAAATATCTTGGAAAAGGGCCCTCCCAGGCCCAGGTGGTTTCACTGGAGAATTCTATCAAACATTTAAAGAAGAATTAACAAAAACTTTATAATCTCTTCCAGAAAATAAAGAGGGAAAACTTCCCAATTCATATTATGCATATTATGCAACCCTGTTGGCTAATGCAGTGTTACCTTGATATCAAAATCAAATAAAGACATTAAAAAAAAACCCCACAAAACTACAAACCAATATTTCTTCTGAACTTAGAAAAAATTCTCGACAAAACATAAGCAAACTGACTCCAGCAAGGTCTAGAAAGAATTACACTCCCAGTGATATTTATTCCAGGTATGCGAGGCTGCGTCAACATGGGGCAATCAATCGATCTAACCTACCAGATCCAATAAAATTAGCAAGTGGCCAAACAGCACCCTTCTGCTCCCCTGACCACCGAGTTAAGACACCGCCATGGCTGAGCGGAAACGCAAGCCATCGTTCTGGCCAGCCGCCTGTTGACCCACTGCAGGTCATACCCAAACTCGTGGGTAGAACCCCTGGAGATTCACGCTTGGACGTGATTTGTGCAGAGCGGTTTACACACAGACAACATGGGACAGTATTCCTCAGTCCGCCCCGACGCACACCCGAGAAGCCCAGACAGTGGCATGCCGGCCCATATGCTGCACAAGGTGTCTCAGTGCTCTGCAACCAAGTCACCTTGTAGCTTTCATACCTGAAAGCACATCAGCCCTAGTTTGGGTCAAAGAGAAAAGGTTCTGCCAAATTTCAGCTTGCTCTGTGCATCAAGAAAGGAGTGAGACTGAAGCTCCCATAGTGAGTCCTTGAGTAGGGCAACACTGTTCATCTCAGCTCCTTGTGTTCTCTACGTCAAGACTGAGCCTTAGTGCTTTGGCCCACACATGAAACCCACCCCAGAAGGAGAATGTCTTGGAAAGATAAACTCCGAAAGATCTTTGGATCTTTTGAACTTAAGAAGTATAAAAATCTTCAATTTTTAATGTAAAACCTCCCCAATTCAGCTCCTTTTTAAAGTTGCCCTTAAATGTTTTGAGGTAAACCTGGAACACCCTAAAATCTAAATTCAAGTTCAACTGGCTCTGAAATCGTGAGTCAAAAGGGTGTCGTTTAACCCCAGCCCTGACTGGGGCTCAGCACATGCATGCAGATTTGCACAGAGCAAGGTGGGGCTTGCGAGAGGTTTTCTCACCTTGCCTGACTTTCATGTCTTAAGTGGAAACAGACCACAGGCGGCACAGGTTTTCCTTCAAGAAATTCATGTGATAAAGTCAAGCCTTCTTAAACCAACCCACCTAATGGGCAGAAATACCGATCCACTATTCCCAAGGGTAGGGTGATGGGAGGTGGGCGGAGGAAGAAAAACGTGCCTTTTTTGTGTCTGCTGGGCTGCAGTGTTGAGAACTCAGAGGGAGGAACCTATGACTACTTAGGGCAGCCGGGGAAGAGTTCTCTCTGGCTCTGCTAGCCCCCGAACCTAAGGAAAGCAGGGCCCGCTGTGTGGATGTTCAGAGCCCACGCCTGCAGCTTCTCTGCCCTCAGAAGCAACGACTTTGGGAGCAGGCGCACGGCCGGTGTGCTCGTAGCCCTCCCGTGTCTGGTTGGCCAACGAGCAGGTGTCTCTGAGCAGCAAGGGTAACAGCCCCTGGGGCGCCACACTGGGGGGACCCCCTCCACGCAGTCCCTCCGTGAGCCCCTGCCCCACAGCTGAAACACTCCCCCTGGCACTTACGTCTCAGCGGAGCTCAGGGATGCCTGCCGCTCTACTCCCACCTCACACCACCCTGCAGAGAGGGGCCTGCGGTTTCTACACCTGCCTGAATTCTGTCTGTAGATCATCTTTATTTTTAAAAGTGAGTTATCTTCTACCCATTCACCAAAGAAAATTCTTGAGGTTCTATCCACACTTTATCTTCTCATTTCTGTAGCCTCTTCTCAATTTGTCACAAACTGGATTATCCTGCTGGATTTTAGCACTCGGTACCTTACAGGGACTCCAGGCACATGAGTCCCACAGCAGCCAATGTAGAGACACATGCGGGATTCTTAGGTATGTCATCCCTGAGAACACTCCTGCCTGCCAGTAACATGAATATACTCAGTCCACCATCAGCCCCTGGACACAGGACAATCAAAAGGAGGGCGGACAAAATGAGGCAATGAGAACACCCAGAGCGGCCAAATTCAATAACCCTCCCAACCCTCCCTCCACGTCCAACCAGTAAAGGGGGACATTGGAATCCTCCACCGCTCTTCCAAACCTGGAGCTTCCACACTGCAGCTGGTTCCACTTTGTGGTCAACACAGAGAGAACTCTTTGTGTAGAACTCCCACCTAATTCCATTATACCAGAACCTCCAAGTTTTTCCCTTAAGTTGGCTCACATCATTCTGATTGGAGAAAGCAAGATTTACCTCAGGGCTTTTATCTCTTTGGGGCACTAAGATACCTCACAAACAGAAGTAAAAACTGCCTTAAAACCCCTCACAGTGTTTTACTGTCATATTGAGCTTTTCCTATGGTCTGTTCAAGTGCTCCCCTATTCTAGACAAGTGGAAATATTTTAAATACAGTTCCACGGGGGTGCTTTCAGTTCTGTGTGTCTTTAAAATATTCTACTACTGACTGATACTCAAAAACATCCCACAATTTGAAAAAATTAAAACTACAAACTTAACAGTGGAAATCCCAGCTTGACGATATAGGAACATTAAGTGGATTTAAACAGTGAAGACACAGAATTGTAGCTTTATGTGATAAATGCATACAGCAGCTGGGTCAGATGATGAGTCTAACAGGGACGGGACAGAACACCAGAACCACGACGTGAGAACAACACATACATCACGCACTGGGAAGCTAAAACACAATGCCCACAGGCCGGCCTCCTAGTTCCTGTCTCAGGCTGGGATTGGCAGACTCCCACAGGAGTTTAGCCAAGGAGTGAGCCTATTCCAGGAGCAGACAATTCAGCCTGAGCTCCATTCCCCTCTGCCTCTTGTACCTGGAGAGACCCTCACTCATGCTACCATGTCTCTGCAACAGGAGAGTGGGCAGACAGTGTTGTTTACCCATGCAGAAGCTGGGGAACCATCAGCAAGCAAGTGAACAGAAACCAGATGGTCTGAGCCCGAGAACCCTGGACTATTCACTGAAATCCTGGGGCCACTTGGATTGTCTATCCTGCCCGGCACTAGGTCCTTCATATAAATGTATGCAACAAGGTGATTTTTAAAGTCACGTATAAAATCTTTTAATGAAAGGACAAGGCTAAGTCTGTGTGTGTGTGTGTATGTGTATAATGTATTTATATGTAAGATGAGCATATTGCTAACAAGTTTAAGGCTTACCCATTGTTTCCTCCTCAAGCTCTTAAAATAAACTGGGTCTCTTTAGAGGATACAAGTTTACTCAAAATATAGTTTTTCCTCCTCTTGAAAAATTATAAAACTGGGGGGAAAACCTGACACTGTGAGAAAACGCAATGTGTCACACAGAGATAATTATGTGGTAATGGTATGAAAGGGCAGGAAACAGAGAAGTCTATCATCAGGTGTGAATATCAAATAACTTACTGTAACAGAGGAATCTCTGAAACATACAATGAATTGCTACCTTACGTTTCATTTTCCTTGCCCGTTGACTGAACCTGAGAGAAGAGCTTGCCCCCGGTCCCCAGAACAGAGCAAGCAGGACGGAGCGCTGACGTTCCCATCCACTACCCCCCCGCCTCCACGCGGCCCCAGGACACTGCTGCCACCTTCCCCTCCAGCTGCCAGAGGCTGGAAGCAGCCCACGCACCTCCACGAGCCGCCAGGCCTCACTGATGACGGCGTACTGGAGGCGATTCAGGGCAAAGCCATCAATCTCCTTCATGACTCTGACTGGGGACTGCCCAATCTTCCGCATCAGGGCGTAGGTTCTGTCCACTGTCGCAGGGGCCGTCTCCGGGTGTGGGACCAGCTCAACCAATGGCACATGATATGGTGGATTTACCTAATGAGAGACACAGAAGGGGAGAGGGTCAAAAGACAGCTCTGGAGTTGGGGTGCTGTTCTGGCAGACCCTACTTGCCTATCTCGAATGGTCAGATGGGGCAGATTTGTCTTTGGAAAGGCCTCTTTAGATTTAGCATCCAATGACAAGGAACTTGAAATATAAAGTAATCCACAAAGGAGGGAAAGAAAAAACCTGAGCACAGAATTCTGTGATTTACAGAAAAGTCAATACCAAACATATGAGGTTGAAATTTGAAGGTACGGATGACCATCCTGTGCATTCAGGGCTAATTGCAAACCCCTGAACTCCCCGGGAGATTTGTCAGCAACCCGCTGTTTAGCCCTCATAGGCTTCTACCTACACCCAGCCAGCCTCCAGAGCCACTCCCTCCACAAGAGTCACCGCAGGCTCTTGCTATTCTACTCTGTCGCTATTAAAAATCATCGACAGCATCTTCCCAAACTTGGTATTTCCTTAACTTCTCCATGTTAAGCCTCAAATGTCTACCCCACACCCCCACATCCAATCTCACCTAGAAACCACACAGCATCAGAACCCTACCGCAGCCTTGACATCAGGACACGGCCTGAGATGGGAAGGGTCGGTCCACTGTGAGTAGGCCCTAACGGAAATGCTTGCCTAGCCCAGCACTTACACTTTGGGCTCTGGTTTTCTTGGTGTACTTTGAGAAACTGTTCTTGAACATTCCCAAAGAGAATTATCCTGGGTCCAGAGAAAATGCTGCTTGGTAGAACCTGATTAGCCTCACCATGAAAAGCCAAATGCACTGCAGTAAATTGTTCCCCAAATGACGCTCTTAAATAATGTTTCCTTGAGATAAGGACAAAAACTGATAGAATCTTATAGTCACTTCAAGAAGCATCCATTTTAAAATGACTTCTACAGGGGTGCCTGGGTGGCTCAGTCGTTAAGCATCTGCCTTCGGCTCAGGTCATGATCCTGGAGTCCGGGGATTGAGTCCCGCATCGGGCTCCCTGCTCAGCGGGGAGTCTGCTTCTCCCTCTGACCCTTCCCCCTCTCATGC